CTTTTAAAATGTTGTTTGTAATTTTTTGTGCTACTGGTTCATTCTATCAATCATCTGAGATTTCAAATAATTTTGTATATTTATTTAAAAAAATCTTTTCAGTTGAATTTTAAAAAAGCTAAAGCACTGAAGAGGTTCAATAACAGTAAGTCACTATATGATTTCTTGCTAAAGATTATAAATTATTTAGGCCTTGATACACATAGCAAACAAGTTGATACATGTGAGTAGTCTCACTGAGTTCAGTGGGACTACTGCTAATTTAGTGAGGAGGACTTTAAACTAGGTTCGCTGGGACATGGTGACCTAAGCCCAGAGGTAAGGGGGGAAGTAGGATACTGGGAGGAAACACAAGGATGAGGGTGCAACAGGGGAGTCCTCCTTGGTTCATACTGAGAAAGCAGGGCAATTGGCGAGTTATCTTAGGTGCCTATACACGAAAGCAAGAAGCCTGGGAAACAATCAAGAAGAATTGAAAGTCCTGGCACAGTCAAGGAACTATGATGTGATTGAAATAACAGAGACTCAGTGGAGTAACTCACATGACTGGAGCACTGTCATGGATGGGTATAAACTGTTCAGGAAGGACAGGCAGCGGAAAAAAGGTGGAGGAGTTACACTGTATGTGAGGGAGCAGTATGATTGCTCAGAGCTACAATATGAAACTGGAGAAACCTGTTGTGAGTCTTTGGGTTAAGTTTGGAGGCAAGAGCAACAAGGGCAGGGGTGGCCAACCTGAGCCTGAGAAGGAGCCAGAATTTACTAATGTACATTGCTAAAGAGCCACAGTAATACGTCAGCAGCCCCCATCAGCTCCTCCCACAGCGCCTCCCGCCCACCAGCAGCTCCGCGGATCAGAGCCTCCCTTTCCCTCCCCGCATCTCCCGATCAGCTGTTTCGTGACGTGCAGGAGACTCTGGGGGGAGGGGGAGGAGCAAGGGCATGGCAGGCTCAGGGGATGGATGGGAGGGGTGGAGTGGGGGCAGGGCTTGTGGCAGAGCTAGGGGTTGAGCAGTGAGCACCCCCCGGCACATTGGAAAGTTGGCACCTGTAGCTCCAGCCCTGGAGTCGGTGCCTATACAAGGAGCTGCATATTAACTTCTGAAGAGCCGCATGTGGCTCCAGAGACACAGGTTGGCCATCCTCGAACAAGAGTGATGTTGTGGTGGGCATCGGCGATAGACCACCAGACCAGGAGAATGAGGTAGACGAGGCTTTCTTCGGAGAACTAACTGAAGTTTCCAGATCACAGGCCCTGGTTCTCATGGGGGACTTCAATCACCCTGACATCTGCTGGGAGAGCAATACACAGCCAAACCAGGAAGTTTTTGGAGAGTGTTGGGGACAACTTCCTGGAGCAAGTGCTGGAGGAACTAAGTATGGGCCATGCTCCTCTTAACTTGCTTCTCACAAACAGGGAAGAATTGGTATGCGAAGTACAAGTGGGTGGCAACCTGGGCAGCAGTGACCATGAGATGGTTGAGTTCAGGATCCTGACAAAAGGAAGAAAGGAGATCAGAAGAATATAGACCCTGGACTTCAGAAAAGCAGACTTTGACTCCCTCAGGGAACTGACGGGTAGGATCCCCTGGGAGGCTAATATGAGGGGGAAAGGAGTCCAGGACGACTAGCTGTATTATAAAGAAGACTTATTGAGGGTGCAGGAACCAACCATCCTGATGTGCAGAAAGAATAACAAATATGGCAGGCAACCAGCTTGGCTTAACAGAGAAATCTTCAGTGAGCTTAAACACAAAAAGGAAGCTAACAAGAAGTGGAAACTTGAACAGATGACTAGGGAGGAGTATAAAAATATTGCTCAAGAATGCAGGGGTGTAACGAGGAAGGCCAAAGCACAACTGGAGTTGCAGCTAGCAAGGGATGTGAAGGGTAGCAAGAAGGGTTTCTACAGGTATGTTTGAAACAAGAAAAAGGTCAGGGAAAGTGTGGGACCCCTACTGAATGGGGGAGGCAACCTAGTAACCGATAATGTAGAAAAAGCTGAAGTATTCAAAGCTTTTTTTGCCTCGGTCTTCACAGACAAAGTCAGCTCCCGGAATGCTGCACTGTAGTGGGAGGAGGTGAGCAGCCCTCAGTAGTGAAAGAACAGGTTAAGGCCTATTTAGAAAAGCTGGACATGCACAAGTCCAGGGGCTAGATCTAATGCATCCGAGAGTGCTGAGGTAGTTGGCTGATGTGATTGCAGAGCCACAATCTTTTAAAACTTGCGGCAAGCTGGGGAGGTCCCAGACAATAGGAAAAAGGGAAATATAATGCCCATCTTTAACAAAAGGGAAGAAGGAGAATCCAGGGAACTACAGACCAGTCAGCCTCACCTCAGTCCCTGAAAAAATCATGGAGCAAGTCCTCAAGGAATCCATTTTGGAGCACTTGGGAGAAGAGGAAGGTGATCAGGAACAGTCAACATAGATTCACAAAGGGCAAGTCATGCCTGACCAACCTGATTGCCTTCTATGATGAGATAACTGGCTCTGTGGATACGGGGAAAGCGGTGGATGTGATATATCTTGACTTTAGCAAAGCTTTTGATATGGTCTCCTACAGTATTCTTGCCAGCAAGTTAAAGTAGTATGGATTGGATGAATGGACTATAAGGTGGATAGAAAGCTGGCTAAATCATCGGGCTCAATGAGTAGTGATCAACGGCTTGATGTCTAGTTGGCAGCTGGTATCAAGCGGAGTGCCCCAGGGGTCTGTCCTGGGACCAGTTTTGTTCAACATCTTCATTAATGATCTGGATAATGGGATGGATTGCACCCTCAGCAAGTTTGAGGATGACACTAAGCTGGGGGGAGAGGTAGATATGCTGGAGGATAGGGATAGGGTCCAGAGTAATCTAGACAATTTGGAGGACTGGGCTAAAAGAAATCTGTTGAGGTTCAACAAGGGCATGTGCAGAGTCCTGCACTTCGGACAGAAGAATCCCATGCACCACTACAGGCTGGGGACCGACTGGCTAAGCAGCAATTCTGCAGAAAAGGACCTGGGGATTACAGTAGATGAGAAGCTGGATATGAGTCAACAGTGTGTCCTTGTTGCCAAGAAGGCTAAAGGCATATTGGGCTTCATTAGTAGGAGCATTGCCAGCAGATCGAGGGAAGTGATTATTCCCCTCTATTCGGCACTGCTGGGGCCAAATCTGGAGTATTGCATCCAGTTTTTGGGCCACCCACTACAGAAAGGATGTGGACAAATTGGAGAGAGTCCAGCGGTGGGCAACAAAAATGATTAGGGGGCTGGAGCACATAACTTATGAGGAGAGGCTGAGGGAAGTGGGCTTATTTAGTCTGCAGAAGAGAAGAGTCAGGGTGGGATCTGATGGCAATGTTCAGCTACTGAAGGGGGTTCCAAAGCAGATGGAGGTAGGCTGTTCTCAGTGGTAGCAGATGAGAGAACAAGGAGCAATGGTCTCAAGTTGCAGTGGGGAAGATCTAAGTTGGATATTAGGAAACACTATTTCACAAGGAGGCTGCTGAAGCACTGGAATGGGTTACCTAGAGAAGTAGTGGAATCTCCATCCTTAGAGGTGTTTAAGGCCCGGTTTAACAAAGCCCTGGCTGGGATGATTTAGTTGGGGTTGGTCCTGCTTTGAGCAGGGGGTTGGACTAGATGACCTCTTGAGGTCTCTTCCAACCCTAATCTTCTATGATTTGTGTAAATTTACTTGTGGATAAATATTTACAGGTTCAGAACCTTAGAATTTACAAATGTATTCATTTTGTTTGTAATTATTGCCCATCCGTAAAAGCAAAACAGTTTTTACAACAGTTCTAAAGTAGTTTTATTACCACCATATAAACCACATTTAGATACAGATAGTTATTTTCCAATGAATAATGTACTTGTTATTTCACTTGTTGATTATGAAGATGCTGGCTATTGTATTTTTGTAGCATAGAAAAAAACAGTGTACTTATTCAAAAGCTTTATTCTTCTACAGCAACAGTTTATATTGTACTGTTTCACTTGCCGTATCATAGTAGCTTAAATGTAAGAGTCAGCTTTATTTAGAAAGACAGTAAGTGAAAACGGAGAAAAAAATCCCACACCTACAGCTGTCACTTAAAATTAAATGCAGTGTTTTTCAATTTCTGAAGGTATCGTGATCAAATTTAGCTACTACAGTGTAGTGAAGGAAAGATCATGTTAAAGCTACAATAGGTATGTTAAATTCCCTTGTTTAGAAAGGTTAGAAAATATAAAAGAGTGGGGAAAAAAACGGTTACAGCTATACATCACGTGTCCAAGTCAATCTTATCAGTTTATTTATTTCATTTTGATAAAAGAACATTTTAAAACTATATCAGTTTACTGGCTGCTTGGAGACAGTTCTTTTTTTCTCTGCCATATTTTTCATTGTTATCTTTAAAAAAACCCCACATTTTGAAGGAAAAGACATTCAAGCTGGTGTAACAGAGAGCAAACAGATCAGCGTATTATTTCTAAAGATGTAATAATTTGTTCCAGAAATCACAGGAATTGTAATACAAGTTGTACCAAAAGACTCAAAGGACACATTAAATGATCTTATTCAATCTACTTAGGAGATATGTAAATTGCTCTGCCTAGTTTAAAATTCTTTCTACATGTCTCACTTGAGATATTAACTCAAAAAAACCCATTTACAGTATATTCATATTTTTGAAGGCTTTAATAAACTAGATCACACAAGAAGTTCGATAAAGATAAAAACTACAATACAAAATTGAAAAGCGCCAAGAATACATTTACTGAAAGGAATTTTTTTTTAATGTTTTCACTCCAATCTACCACTCTCTTTTAGAAGTCATGTTCCGTGTTGTTATAACAGCTAGAACATGACTTTATTATTAAATATTTGGAAGTTATCCTTGAAAGATGACTTATTTTGTTTGCACTACTAGAAAGCTATAGAAAGGATTAATTAATTTTAGCATATATAAAATAAACAGTATGCAAGGAAGTAAACATTAGAAAAGTAACACTGTAAATCTACTTACAAAATCAAAATCTCCGTCTTGAGGGACTTTCCAGTTATCAGGGAAAACATTTTTGGATATGTGGTAGGGTTCAGGCATGTTCTGATTACAGTTTTCATGGCTTTTATTCTTGGAATCTTGTTTATCAAAGTAGTCCATGAAAGAAGGTCTTTGTACTTGCGGTGAAGTAGCGTTTCCTTAGTTGAAAGGAAAGGAAAAGTTAAAACTGTCTGAAGATGGAAGATTTACTGCCCTACAAAATAAGCTATGTTTATGAATTTATTGGACTAACTCTGCACTGATTCATGTAATGTCTACTTATTGTTATACAAACTCAAATATCAGTATGTACTAAATAAAAATAATACACAGTTGTAGCAGTTTAATTAAAGATGTGGTTTTAAACTGAATTAGCAAAACTGGTGCACAGAGGGTGTATAGACAACGAGTAAATTACTTCACTGGCAGTTGAGAATACTCCACATATAACAGGATCATAGCCTTACAGAGCAGATGGCTAGAAAGTGCCATATAAATTACGGCATAAACTCCCACTCTCATTCTTTTCATAAAAGAATTATGTCTGAAATATGTTGCCATTTGTGGGACGTCAAAAGAGTTCACCCATCGAATAGAACAGTTAATCTATTAAACAGAAAAAACACTATATTAAGTCTACGTAACTATCTCTCCAGAGGCTACATCCAGAATAAAAGAATACTATGAATCATAAAATGTTGTACTCAAATAATATAAATATACAAATTCTACCAGTACAATAAAAAGCATAATGACAATAATTAAGCAATCAATTTGCAAACACCGACAAGATAATAAGGTGATAAACAACAGTCAGCATGGATTTGTCAAAAACAAATTGGGTCAAACCAACCTAATAGTTTTCTTTGACAAGGTAACAAGGCTTGTGGAAGTGGGGTAGCGATAGATGTGGTATATCTTGACTTTAGTAAGGCTTTTGATACTGTCTCACATGACCTTCTCATAAACAAACTAGGGAAACAGAACCTCGATATAGCTACTCTAAGGTGGGTGCATAATTGATTGGAAAACCATTCCCAGGGAATTTTTATCAGTGGTTCACAGTCAAGCTGGAGAGGCATATCAAGTGGGGTCCTACAGGGATCAGTTCTGAGTACAGTTCTGTTCAATATCTTGATCAATGATTTAGATAATGGCATAGAAAGTACACTTACAAAGTTTGCAGATGACACCAAAGTGGGAGGGGTTGCAAGTGCTCTGGAGGATAGGATTAAAATTCAAAATTATCTGGACAAACTGGAGAAATGGTCTGAAGTAAATAGGATGAAATTCAATAAGGAAAAAAAGCAAAGTACTCCACATAGGAAGGAACAATCAGTTGCACACATACAAAATGGGAAATGACTGCTTAGGAAGTAAGACTGCAGCATGGGATCGGGGGTCATAATGGATCACAAGCAAAATATGAGTCAACAGTGTAACACTGTTGCAAAAAAAGCAAACATCATTCTGGGATGTATTAGCAGGAGTGAAGTAAGCACTCTTACACTCTACTCCGTGCTGATTAGGCCTCAACTGGAGTATTGTGTACAGTTCTGCGCACCACATTTCAGGAAAGACAAATTGGAGAAAGTCCGAAGAAGAGCAACAAAAATGATTAAAGGTCTAGAAAGCATGACCTATGAAGAAAGACTGAAAAAAATTGCATTTGTTTAGTCTGGAGAAGGGGGACATGATAATAGTTTTCAAGTACATAAAAGGTTGTTACAAGGAGAGGAAGAAAAATTGTTCTCGTTAACCTCTGAGGAAAGGACCAGAACTAATGGGCTTAGATAGCAGCACGGGCGGTTTAGATGGATGAAAAACTTCCTAACTGTCAGGGTAGTTAGTCACTGGAATAAATTCCCTAGGGAGGTTGTGGAATGTCTGTCATTGGAGATTTTTAACAGCAAATTAGACAAACACCTGTCATGGATGATCGATAATCCTCAGTCGTGCCTTGAGTGCAGGGGACAGAACTAGAAGACCTCTCAAGGTCCCTTCCAGTCCTACGATTCTCTGATTCTATGACAAGCACAAGTAACCTAGTTGAAATGAAAAACAAGAACACTAGACAAACCTGTACTTTTTTATTATAAGCATTAAAAGCAAACTAAGTAAAAACCTAGATTGGGTGGAATTATCCTGTTTTAAAGAGAGAATAAACTACAGCGAGGGCGGAGGAGCAGGAGAATGTTGCAAACATTTTTTTAGGCATATGTATAATGTATGAGTGTGTGGGCTTTCTGATCTGCTGGGAAAAGAAATTTCATCAACTGCAAACCTGGACTGTGGTACACCGTAGTATATTTAAGAATTGTAAAACAACTACAGTGTGTATGCTTGCATTTTATTGCAAAATTTAAGGAACTTTTTTTCTTTTGGTCTCAGTTCCTGTAAAGTAACTAGACACAAAAGCATGATATGTTCAAAGGATGCCATCAATTTTACCTAAAGAAGCCCACAGATGTACAAAAAGCAATTTTTATTAACTATTTTTCCTTTAAGGGTTTGGAGGAAGCAGAGCTGTACCTTGATTTAAATAATCAATTTTAATCATGTTTTATTTATTTTCACTGATAACCACTAAAACATGTTGATTTACAACTAAATAGAGTCTTTACACTAAACTTGGTACTATTTTTTTGCTAAGCGGGAAGATGCACTCTATCTATATACATTTATTTAAACAGTAGCATAGCTTAATTTACATTTATTGAGATTCTTAATTTTTACAATTCTTATGTTAGAAAACAGTAAATGATGCATTTCTAACTTACTAGATGATGAACTTTTTAACTGTGATTTATGTCAAGCTCTATATAGATGGAAATTCAAATTCAATTAAAAATGCACAAAAACAGCATTTATTTATTTTATTTAAATTAAATAAAACTACCTTAAATGTGCTGGATACATAAACTTTTTGATTTTTTTTGTCTTATCAAAACATGTTTTGCATTAAAAGTAACTGATTTTTTAAGCAAAGAAGCGTTATTTGAAGGTAGTGAATTGAACTTATTGTTCCTGGTCATCACGTCCTTCAAGATTTTAAAATTAGTAGAGCTCTTCCTCTCACAACTTGTTTACTTTCCTGCTTTTTCAGCTGCCAACTGGTTTCTTAACTTTGAATGAACTAGTCATTGAACTGATCTAGTTCAATAAATTGTAATGAAGAAAATATTCCCTCTGTACCTGTAGAAGAGTCTGGTTTAGGACTTCAACAAATTCTGGGGCCAGGCACTTAACCATTGACTTCCACAAGCTCAGTGATCTGATTTTCTTTAAAACTTTAGAAGCAAACTGCTTACTACAATTTTTGTGTTTAATTTTCATGATTTTAACACATTATTATATGTGTGGGCTTTAACATATGTTGTCAATTTCAAATTTAATTTTAAATAGATTTTTTTAAAATAAACCAATATTTAATTTAAATTAAAAAAAAAATCAAACCCCCCCCAAAAAAAAAAGAAAAGAAAAAAACCCCAACCATTGATTTTCATCTACCCTGGAGCAGGACTTGAGAGTGCAAGTAGCCTGGTTAATATTTTTTGAGTAGCCCACAAAATCAGCCTCCCCTCAGTTAGCCAGAATCACAGGTATATGAAAAAACCACAAATATAATTTGGTATTAGACTTCCTATAAATTAATAACAAACTTACTCACTTTTTTTCCCTTTCTACTTTTATTCATCCAACTTTTTCTTTCTAAGGTACATTGGTGAATCTTTTCCTCTGTGTCTCTGGTGCTGTGGGTTTTGTTTGTTTGGCTTTCCCCATTCACTATAATTTTACTGCAATATTAGTAGTTGGTCTAGTTTCTTTTCACTCACTAACCTTTATTTCTGTATTGTGTTTTCTCCCTACTGCCTCAGCTTCATTCAGTTATTCTCTCCTCCATGCCCTCTCTACATCTTTCTGTTCTAATAAGCTTTCCCTCTGAGTTTCTCATTATTTCAACCATTTCCTTTTTTTTTTTTTTTTTTTTTTAAATAATGGCTTCCTGTTCCCCAGAACCTGCTCACTTAACTCTTCCACTCCTCTCTATCCATGGTGCTTCCTCCATTTATTCTGTGACGTTTTCACATAAATGTATGTATGTTTCCACACTTTACCCAAGTCTCCCTTAGCTGTTGCCCCAGTTCCCTTTGTAAGCCCAGGCAGCTGCTGCCTCTATTCATCTTTTCAAATATGGACAATCACACACACATGCACCAATGAGCCAAATTCAGGGCTTATCCAATGTCTCTGCTTCAGGTCCTGTTTCTACTTCCTCTCTTATGGCCTGATTCAACTCCATTTGAATTCAGTGTGACTTGAATCAGGTTCCTGGCTCTCTGCAGTCAGAGCTGAAGAGGAGGAAAGTGGGGAGGGGGGAGCGGGGGGGGGCATGGGGGCTGGGGGGAGAGCCATGATCCAACAGGAGATAGCAATAGCATGGCTCCTGATGGAAGGAGGCCGAGGTGCTGGGGAAAAAAATAATACCTATTAAAAAAAATCTTTATGATCCCCCCCAGCTTTTATATTGTATAGTTTATGTGGCCAAAAAGTAACTCAGGTATTAGCATTAAAGAGGCAGACGCAGGTCTATAGTATTGCGTCATCTAACAACTAATTATTTTTCTTCCTGCTCTGCTTACTGTACTTATGCTTCATACATAAGACATAATTATGATCAGAAAAAATAACAAGTTTATTTATGACAGATACCATGTCGCTCCCCCTCGTTCACAACAAACAAATAAGCTCACTCTATATTTTCCTTGAGCTACTCTTGAAGATTTCAGAGCTACATAAAAATTTCTATTAAATACATGTCAGGAGACTGAAAACATCTGTAAACCTAGGAAAAACTAAAAGAAACAGTATCCTTGCCATTAAATGCAAATTAAGGAAAGTGGTCAGCAAGATTAGAGTTGAAGCTTCTCAAAAATGAACAAATCACATTTAATTTGCACTCTGAGTCACCTTTTTGGGGGAGTTCGAGTGGGAATTGTAGAACAACTGAAGTGTTCGATTTACTTAAGGAAACTTAAAAAGAGGAATTTATAACTCTCTTATCTCTGACTAAATACGCTCCCTGGTGTATGACTGGGGCTCCTTAGCATTATGATCATTACTATAATAAAAACAATGACAACAAAAAGTAAGCAGT